GATTTACCGGGCGCGAGCGAATCGCTCGCTACAGGAGTTCGTAATCATTTCGGCTGTCAGTTTGGCTTTACGCTGATGTGGGAAACGTAGTCGTTGGTGTCACTGTTTATCGATAAATGATATAAGAGAGCGATTAAGTTCTGACTATTTAAATTTATACACGGACCGCGTTAGAAATTAGACAAGTGTGTCGGAGACGCCAGAAGAGACCACCGCTACGCGGATTTCTAAAATCATCCTGGCGCACTCGTCTCATATTAGTGCATGATTATACGCTACCAAGTTGAACGTCTGCGAGTCAGAGTTTCGTCAGCCTATGATGCGATTCTGTAATTCGTTATTGCAGTTAACGACAGTCTCGTTATCATTGCGCTTTTCTACGGCAACGATAACGACAAATTTGTCGTAAATAACGTAAACTGTAAATAACGAGTTACAGAATCGCATCACTGTTGTTGCTCGTCGCGACATTTCACTCGCATCAATACTTTTACTACTGTTTTGCGTGCAGGTGTTTCTTTAAACGGCGATTTTATTACTATTATTATTATTATTATTATTATTATTTAGTTTTTGCAACCAGGTGTTTCCTTTCACCCACAATATAATGCGCGTGCACTTGCGACAGGCGATCGTATTGTCCACTGCTGGACGAACGATAGACTTAAATAGAATCTGTTATTTAAACATTGCGATTTGAATATTATATTTCTGATATATTGTGGCTGTAAGAGAGGGTAAGGCAATGTGATTTCACACATTATTTCTCAAAACTTAGCTATACATACAAAATGAACAAAATGTGTTGTTAAATTGCGAAATGTCATTCAGCGATATAGTTCGTTTAAGATTATATGAAACTACATAATTGCACTGTTTGATGGTGCTAGCAGTGTTTTGGCTTCTAAACATAGATAAATAAAATCTAATACGTCATAAAATATGATTACTTAATTAGTACGTAAGGAAAACGATTTTGTCTTGCGAATCATGTAAAGCACGTTAGTGCGAAGTCTCGATGTAATCGGTGCTTAAATATGGCAAGTTGATGGGGCGACTAAGGGAAACTAGAGAAGACAAATCGATTAGTATGTAATGTGCGGCGGCCCGCTCTGTTTACGCCGACCTTGTCTCACACATACGAACGTGTATTGCTGTAATTTAATTACGAGTGGACGCGTCGAATCCGGTATTTAAAGGAGTTAGCAAACGAAAATTGATCATTGTTCACCTCTAGTAGAAGATGACTATTCATGTGTAATTAATTATTACTATCGCAATAATGAACATTTTTAATAACTTATCTTGTGTACATTTTAGCATTAGCCCTTTATATAATAAAGTCCACGTGATATGATAAGGTATATAACAGATATTTCTTCCTCGCGCCCGACCATAGATCCGAGCGCGCGTATGATATGGTGTCGCGATATAACGGACATGTCTCGTGTCATGTAGCTCTCGTATTTCCAACCGTATGAATCTTGTGCAACAGGATACTCGCATGTTAATTGCTTCAGCAAATTCCCCAGCTAAGAGTACTGTATCTACTTTTTGTCGATCTTCTTTGGAAATGCCTGAATTTATTCATGTGTCTCTCTAAATTCTCAAATGTCAGCCACGTGGTCTGTATGAATGAAGCGTAAAATCGCGATTTGCGACCTTACTTTTCTCCTCTCAAAAAATATTCATAAAAAATACTCATAGAAAAAACAATTTATTGTCTGCGACCCTTAAAATTTCACGCTCTATAAGAGGACAGGAGTAAAATGTTTATTAAAATGGTAATTAAGGTCAAATTGATTTCAATAGAGGAACGTATTCAAAAGCAATACGCATGGGAACGTTATATAATGACCGGATGCCGATCTATTAAATGCAAAAATGACGATTCAAAGTAATTTACACAAGTATATCATTCACAAACGTGGGCCATAAATTAAATTGTATTTCAGTACATACATATCCCTTATGAAAGTACGGCTTGAGAATGTCAACTTAAGCAGAAACTCGTGACAAAACGGAAAATGCAAAACAAAGATTTTGAAAGAGAATTATACAAAGGCAAAGATGCAAAATATAAAGAGAAAAATAACGCAAAAATAACGCACGTACCGTCAGAGAAAATAAGATCACCGTGTTGTCCATTTCGAAATCAATCTCGTAATTGCGGTAGATACTTTGTGTCGCTTGCGTATACGTATATCTAAGTGTGTTGCAGATTCGATTTTACAACAGTGTGAAGGCCGCCTAACCGGTCGACTGATCCTGAGTGTACGGAAAACCATACGACGGTCACTCACACTGTCCAAGCAGTGAAAGTGCAGTATGTTTGTCTCTCTTCGCAATCGTAACGTGTGGAGGGACAGTCCCTCTTGAACGTGTACTCTTCACGCAGGACGCGTTTCGGGAGCGAACCTGACTGACTTGCCCGTCGTCTCCGTCGTCGTCGTTGTCGTCGTCGTCATCGTCGTCGTCGTCGCTGCCGCCGCCACCACCGCCACCGTATCCACCGCCGTAGCCGTGGTCGGGTCGCGATCCGGCGCGATCCACTGTCAGTGCTTAGCTCGGCGCGCTCGGTGCGGTCGATCGGAATCGCGAACTAGTACGCGGTGGAAATTCGCACACGCATAGTACACTGATGCGCCGATAGACTGACCACAACGTCGATGAGTCTCCGCTTCTTTGACTGCCGATTGCTCCTCGAGGTATGTGGTCACCGTTCATCGAAGTGTGGACATCGGCCCGGTGAAAAGTGATGTTTCACCTTTTTTCCGTTTCTAAGAATGAGATTTTGCTAGTAATGACTAACGCAATCTTGCTTTGGTAGAAGTGAATATGTGAATTGTTGTGTTCGTTATATACACTGAGAAGAAAATTTACTTGTGGGATACAAAGTTCATTTCTATAAGATAAAGTCTATTATTCTGTGTGTGAATGAACTTTATATCCTACAAATAAATTTTAGTATTTCCTTTTTCGATGTGCATACAAATTATGTGTATATACTATAACGTACACTGAGAAAAAATGATATATAACGCACATTGAGGAAAAAGTACTTGAATATTAATTTGTAAGATATAAAGTTCATTTCTAGAAAAGAAAACTTATTTTTGTGAAATAAAGTATATTTCTGTGTGAAATAAACTTACGATGTTTATTAATTTTATATCTCTCACAAATAAAAATTTCAAATATTTTTTTCTCAGTATAGAAGAACGATTGTATATAAACAGTGACGAAATAAAAAATTTATTTTTGCTGTATCGTATTCACACAATGCCGAGAAGAAGATAATTAATTGCATTTATAATTCCATAAAATACGCTTTTTTTAGTAGCATTAGTACCATTTCTGTTGTCTATCTTTTTGTAACATTTGAGACATCAGTTGATAAGGAAAAGAGGGAAATTCATATTTGCACAAATCACAATACGTATTTAAATTTACATTCTGGAGCAAGGTTGAGGCCTAAATAATTGAATGAAGTAGTAACAAACAAACCCTGTGCCAAAGTTGGCAGCGGTCGCACACCTCGCTCGATGAATTCAATGTCGTTTTATTCCCAACACGACTCCCTGCATTAAGAGTAGAACTTTGTCACCGTAAATCTAATGAAGTAACTTGTAGCCATAGCATCAATGCATTATTTAATTTCATTGACGCATTCGTGAATTGTCGACATATCCGTCGCATAAATAATGTGAATATACACACTTAATAGCGAAACATAACGCGTCTACGGTCAAGTCTAATCCATTTTGTTATCAATTATTAAATCGGAGACCTCAAATCCAATAGCGATAAGAAGAATATAACCATTGTGCGCATTTAATTTACCTGGTAAGTACTTATCGATTTGATGAATAAGGCGAAGTTTGCGACAATTAAGCATTTGTTGTAGTCAATGACAGATCGATCTAGAGTTTATCTCATTGCGATATGGCAGCTTTGATCGATTGTAAACGTCATGGAATATGAGAAACTGCATTGTTATAAGCATCACTTTTATTTCTTTATTTCTTTATTATTGCATGATAACGATGTACTACATGGTTATTATACGGAAACTTTGAGATAACGTCCAATACGTACGAAGAAAGTAATGGTATAAACGATATTCCCACGCGTGCAATGTAGCTTAAAACCTATTTTCGCTGAAGAAGCAATTTTGTCGACAGTATTTTATCTTACGTAAAAATTTTATAAAAAAACATCGTGTATAAAACGATTTCAAGGTTAAAATCTTTATTTGCACATCGTGTCGCGTTATGCAATTTAAAAACTGACTGACTCTTCAAACGACAATTTCAATAAATCGCGATATATTCTGCATTGCGAGTAAGTCGAAATACGAAATATACTTTCGGGTTGGCCTTCCTATATTGCATATTTGCAATTCTGGCGACCGTATAAACATCATACATCTATTTACACAAATTATTCTACTTCACAGTTAATTCCAAATGTTTCTGGTAAACATTTATTTTGAAGCTAGGTTGCCAATGATTAAATTATTGATTAAAAAATTGATTAAATCATTTCTTCAACGCGGATATAAATACAAAAACAGATTTTTCAAAAAATAGTGCATTAATAAGGGTTTAATCTATTGCTGTAGATTTGTTGAAAAATGTGGGAACACAGCAAACTTTTCGTTCACGAGTATTATTATTGTTGTTGCACAAATATAATATACATTATCACTTATCGCGACGCACTTTTATTGTATCGTGTATAACACTAAAACCGACGTGTAATAATGGAAGGGCAGAAATTTTCGTTCGAAAATGCGAGCAAAAATCTACCTCCTTGTACAAATCGTTATGTATATATGCTTCTTGCTACTTCCTAATTGTAATGGTGAAAATATTATCTGCGCGATCGTACTTTTCACCAGGTGTAGACGTACAATCTCAACGGATTCCGAGGAGCGACTTCGACTTTCTCGTAGATTAGACGTCGCGTGACGTAGAGAGAGTGAACAGGAATCTCTTTCCTCTTCCTTGCTCCCCTCTTTCTTTCTCTCTCTCTTTCTCTCTCTTTCTCTTTCTCTCTCTTTCTCTCTCTCTTTCTCTTTCTCTCTCTTTCTCTCTTTCTCTGTTGCGGTATCCAGATAAAAAGCCAACTAGGACATCACCAATCTCGAAGCATATCTGGTTTTGCCCACTCTTGGCGCTTGTCCGCGCGTTACCAGACTCACACGCTTCCCACTTACTTTGGCAAAATTGATGACTAGAGATCTGTATATAAAATCAAATGTCGGCCCGTCATTGTTTCCGGTCCAACCGCGAGATTTCTAGTCGGTCAATTTCGAGTAGCACGTTCGAAAGTTAACCGCGGCGCTTCGCGATTTTCTTTAAACGCGGCCTTCGTAACGTCCGATTTTTGTGCGCGAAACTGCCGCATTGGCCAGTGTATGCTGGTTCTTTGTTCAGGTGCAAGTAAATTCGCTTGCAATTAGACCAGCTCATGTAAGAAGTTATTTCGCAGTTTATGACAATTTTTACCTTACCTTTCGTTCACGAGGAACAGTCTCCACTCGCGAGAAAGTTATACGTTACTGGCATCATACGAAATAATAATTTGCAAATTAGACTCACCTTGTCGTAATATCACAGGAAATATCATAAGAAACATAGAACACTTAGTAGGATAAGTGGCGATGTACGACCGGGATATCGCAGAAATGCAGCAGAGTAGGTTATTTCGCGGAAGTGATTGGAAATAATTCACACTCCCAGAATTTTTAAAATTTTAAAATTAATTTAAAAAATTAAGTTGCGTGTTTGCAGATGACAGACAGATTGCAAATATTATTTTACGGATATATTTTTTTATTTTAACACATTTTTCAAGAATTTTTATCATGTTTTTTTCTAGCCTTTGATGCCAGCCAAGAGTTTCGCGGCGAAAGACTAGAAGCTTTAAATATTTATCACAAACATGTATCCTAGCTTATGGATGCGCTTCGAAACAATGCGTATATTATAAGCTTCAATCGGCTGAATTACTTCCATAGTGACTTTAATGTTATCCTAGCCTCATTTTTAATTTCAGTTTGCCTGCTCAAATAATACTATTGCACTTACAGCGTTACACGCAAGTCGTTATTTTGCAGCTTCTGCTTAGGGCAAGTCTCGTTTGATAATAACATGGGAATATTGTCGTGGCTATTGCTACGTACAGCAGTCTGCAATCACTCTATCATTATGTCTTTCAGGAAGCAGGTGTCGTATAAAAGGTCCACGTCGCTTCAATGATGAAATTACTTGCGGGCGTAGAGGAGGTTAGCGACCACTGTGAAAAAGAGCCCAATAATGGCCAAGTGCACAACAATAATAGTCATGAAAAGCAATCTGCAACGGAATTGACGCAAGAAGCAAGCAAGCCGCTCGTCAATAAGGTCAGTCAACGTTCGTCTGCATTTATAACGCCTCCCCCTCTTTCTCCTTTCTCCTCCTTTTTTGACAAAAAATCTCAAACAAATTAGAGATACTCGAGATACTCTCTAATTTGCCATAAAAAATGAATTTTGAGAGCGATGAAAAGAAAGCGAGAGAAAATGAATCGTAAAATCAGGATGAACGGCGCATTAAATGAACAGTTGCGCGGCAGGCTTACATGAGTTTGGCATACCACTGCGGATATCATGTATAAAAGCTATGTTTTGCGGAAAAGCCGCGTGTAATCAATAGCTCGATTCAAAGACGGTAGCGCCATACAGGACATTATGGTCGATGTGCTCCATTTCTCGTCAACGTCATCCGCTTCCGTTTTGCCAAACGAAGACACGCGACTGCGACTTTCTAGGTTACGTGATAATGTCTGTAATTTTGTACTTCTCCTTCTCTTCCGCGCACGTATGCGCGTGTAATTAGATAGGACTTATTCCGCGTCGTTGTTGTTAAGCCTGACGTTTTAAACAAAAGTCCAGACCGCGAGAATACATTAGCCGTCGTTGAGTCGGCTCTCCTTTGTAGCAAAAGAACACTAGCGAGATAAACAGGTAAAGGAAAAAGTAAATAAAAACTATCGACTAGTTAATCGTAGCAGGCGAGCGCTCACTGTAATAGCGGAAATACGCAGCCTATCGTGAGCTTATATTTCGTAGCGAGATTCGACATTACTCGTCGATTGTTTCTATTGTAGCGCGACTGGTAATCGTTTTAATCGCGGTGTGACCGTTGCTCCAACGCCAACAACGAGAATCGATTTCGCTAGCTGCAGACCCCGCGGCACCGAGAGGAAAGCAGACTGCGTAAACTTGACACACTCGGATGAAAGGCAGGTCCCGTTGTGGCCTACTTACCGCTTTCGTATCTTCTCGAGATGTAGTATGACTAAAACATTCCTGCTCGTGCAATCTTCGTGCGAATGGCATCCTGTGGAGTGTAAATCTTATACTGCATTCACTTCGCTGGTCGATCCTTCTCCAACTTACTTGAATGACTTTACGACCAGCATTCATAGTTATTACTTGAAAGTCATCTCCAGTCAGATAGCCAGACCTAAATTCAAAGTTAAGTCCAAATTTTTTAGTGCAATTATGATTTACGTGATATTTGTACCTATAATCGCGATTTAATTGAAAAATTCTCATGTAATTTTAAATTCAAATCGAAATATCTCACTTAAAACGAATTTCAAATAATAATTCAATCTAACTTTTAATCTATGTTTTCTCATGACTATCACGTTAATTTCACGTTAATTTCACGTTTATTTAATGATTATTACAGTAAAAGAAAAGTGTTGGAAGTATTTTACAGATCTGCTTGATTGATTGTACGTGTTATTTTATGAATATATTATTTTATCTCAACATATATTTTGCAAGAATTTTTGCATGTACTTTCTTACACTTCTGACGTCATAAAACAGAAGTTGCGCGGCGAGGAAACTTTAAGGAGATGCTGAAGTGTTTGGCAAACTCCAAAAATGTCAATAAGAGGCGATCACTAACACGATCATACTACTCTTTGCTTATTTCTTATACACATAGATCTTAAATAAATGTGTACTGCTTTGTTTTGCCATGCTATCAGGAAACATAACCATGCCTACACAGAAATCTTTCTGCAAACTTTCTGCAAACTATTCTTGAGCTTCTATATTCAATTGTAAAGATAGAGAAATGTTTCTTCACATTTTCGTTAGCGGAGCAAACATATATAAGCTGCGGAACTTTTGCATCTGGTAAATATTTACTCCAGCTGACAGATCGAGATGTCAATTTTAAAATTATTTATTGTTTTCGTCACCTACATTGAGCAATACTCTAGTTTATTATTGCACATACTTTTAAAAATACTTGTAATTCTGCGTAAACAATAGGATGTAAACTTTGCAGAAAACATTAGTATTTCGTCGGCAAAATTTTTAAATATTCTCTTAACAGCTCGATTTATTTGTTATATTTGCATTATTTACAGAATTATATACTTGAAAAATCTATATCTTGTAATTTTAAAAATTTGTAAATGGACATCGCATAAACATCAAGTATCTCACTAGAAAAGCAAGCGGTTATCTATATTGCGTTTCTCTTTTTACTAGTCAATCACGCTGTTGCACTGAAATTACGGATATTATTGCACCGAAGAACGGATATTATTATTATTAGCTAACATAGTAGTTACGGTTAAAAATAGAAAGGTAATTTTAGTGTTACGATCACTTGCGCGGTACATGCGGTATTTTCCTTTTCTAATAATTACATCAAATACAGGAGGAACTTCATTGTGTCATATCATTCCATTGTTGGAATGGCGAGTTTACGTTGCTGAGGAATGTCACGAATGAAAGCAACGAAAGCACTTGATGTCATTCAGAACATCGCGATGAAATGTCGTTGTGCCTGCTTCTTATGCAAGGAATTTTTATGCCAATTATTGCAATCCAGATTCAATTACGTGCACGAAGCGAGAAATGTGATTTTCATTCCATCCAGCATTTCGTGAATATTAATATTTTTAATTTGTGGATGCAGCCAATACATACATATAAATTAATACGAATTTTTCATGATTTTCCAAAATCACATTTTATTTTATTTTTGCGTAAACTTCTTTAGTAATAATTACATAATAACAATTACAGTTACATAACATGTTTGCGCAAAATCCTAAAAAATTGATTATACTATTTATGCACTACATCCAACTTATGCAAATACTAAGGTTTTCCACATCTTTATTATGTATGTACTTTTTATGCCTTCTTTTACGTAATTTCGGAATTGTGATGAAATAAGCAAGAAGGGACAGAGAATAAATAACCCATAATTGATAACCCGGAAGTGATGCAAATTTTTTACACTTCAATTAATATAATCATACTGGAAATTCACTGTAGAATCAAATTTTACTTCCTGCTCATAGCGATTAACGATATCTATTCGCCTAATTTGTTGAAGATCCTTTATTTCAAATTTTTATATCCAAAAAATATAATCTCTTCCTTGGTGGTCATTTTATAGATGGTCTCAAGAGAATTTTTCTAAAATCAAAAGGAAAATATTACTCAGCATAAACACCAGCTATCAATATCATAACATCAATATTATAATTTACTACTTAACAATATAAATATGTAATGTAACGCGAATAGTTGTGTAACAATTACATTATTGAGTGGAAAATTATAACACTGGCGTAACACCGACGTAATATTACTGTTAGTTGCTGTTTATTAAGTATAATATATAAAAAATATATAAAAGTATATAATATATAAAAAAAACTCCAGTTGCAAGGTGTTAATTTTCTGTAACTCCATATTTTAAATGGAAACTTTTACCGAAATGTATCTCTTCTTAAATGAAGCGGAACAATATCATGCTTAGAATATTTTGTTTTTGATTTGAAAGAATATTCTTAGGGTTATTTACAAAAAGAAGAATTCCGCTAAGGATGTGATTATACGTTTTTGGGCGCATTACTAAGAAATTATGGATATTTGGACAAAAAGAACGCTTTCCAAAGATAAACTTTTATGTTCAGATGTGATGAACGCGTTTCGATTTTTCATTTTTAAAACAGGCATGCAACGACTCCACGGCTAAGAAGAGGCAAATTACGTCGGAGGAGGAAGAAAAGTTGAGACGACTGCTAATCTTCGAGGAGGCGCCCGAATATCTTCGGCACAATCCTTACATACGAAGTGGTTATCGCGGCTACTTGACTACTAAACTATGTCTCGAGAGGTTAAGTTCCACATATTTCTTAATCATTCATGATAAATAAAGATCTTGGGTCACGGCAAAAAAAAAGAGAGTGTGTGTGGGTGTCAACAGTGTGTGCCACTTAACGAAAATATTGTATGTTTTAGCATATTTTGGTGGACAAACGAGACCGTGAACATATGGAGCCACATTTTCGGCTGGATGCTATTTTTCGGTCTGACCCTATACGACCTTTGCCTGCTGAATATTCACGCGCCGTTCAGCGACAAATTGATCGTGTCTCTGTTACTTCTTTGTTTTCAGGTAAAACGTGTCGGCCACGACAAACACTAATGTATAACATTTGTCGCGTGATAAGATAAATAAATAAGATTGCCTTAGGTATGCATGATACTTTCTTCTGTGTACCACACGTTTTCGTGTCGAAGCGAGAAGGATTACTGGTGCTTCCTGTCCTTTGACCTGTTCGGCATCGCATTGAGTATGCTGTCGATTTACATGTCGGGTGTTTACTACGCTTTCTGGTGTCACAAGGTGAAGTGTACTATATCAGTTGTCTCAACAAAATTCTTCGTCACGTTGATCCTTTCACTTCTCGGCGCCTGTAACCGCTCGTCGTCCATCAAACAATCGGTGTCAATAGGCCTTTGGCGTAACGTAAAATGAAATATATCGTACAACGTACAGATTATTAATTTGTTCTATCTCTCAATAAGTTGGATAGTTTTTAGCACACTACTCACTGTTATAAGTTAATCGTGCGTTATAAGTTAACAGTGCGTGCCTTTCATCGCAATCATTAGTAGTGAAAACATTAATTTCGAGGAGTTATGAAGTTGTGAATGAAAAGACTGACATGAAAATTGTAAAATCTCGCGAAATTCACTTGCAATCTTCCTAATTATTGTCTTGAAAACTCTGCGCTAAATTTTGCGAAACAAATAAGATATAAGTGTTCACGCGATTATTCAACCCGTATAATTGGACAGTTTACTCTCTAAATGTCTTGATGTGAAATCTCATTCGAAACGAGTGAAAATTCACTCGAGGTACCAATTGATTAGTATGAGTTTGTTCTTCTGTGACAACGGAATACATCAGATTAATTTTTCAAAATTTCCAGTGAAAATATTCACTCGACGATTTAGAGTGGAACATTCTCATTGTGTATAAATAAGAAACCATTCGAGTGACTAGGCGATCAGTCTACTTTTCAAATGAAATTTCACTCTAAGAAGTTTAGAGAGTAATTAACATAAATACACCTCTAACAACGTGCCAATTTGTGCGGCTCAACGTGAGGTTCGCACTGTTTCCAATCCACGAACTTTTTGCAGGAGCTGCAGCGATTCTATCTGGTGACTGTGCTCGCGATCTTCATTTTCGCCATGGTGTTGCAATTACCCAAACTAAACATCAACGGCAACATCAAGTTAAGCGTATTTGTAGCCTGGGCGGTATATGGAGTGCTGCCAACGCTGCATTGGACAATAGCGATGGGTGGCTTCGATAATCCGATCGTTAAGATGCTCATTCCAAGAGTGATAGGAATGTACATTATTAACGCGATAGCGTTCGCGTTCTACGTGCTCAAGATACCCGAACGTTTTTGTCCAGGTAATAATTATATACTGCCGGCAATTATTGTATTCGTTCTGGTATAAATGCTCTGTCATAATACGTGGCAAATAGTATAATTCCAAAGTACAGTACAGATTCGTGTTACTGTACATATTCGTTGCTCACGTATTGTACGTTGACGTTTCTGCCACAGGCTGGGTGGACTACGTCGGCTCGTCGCATCAATGGTGGCACGCATTGGTCGTGCTGGCCCTTTATTATTGGCACAACACCGGAATGCTTTATGTGGAATACAGAATGAATCATGGATGTCCCAGCAGTATGACATTATGACATACGGATTCCGACGACCAACCAGGTACGCGAAATAACGCTCGTAATTCAGGCGGATCTAACTAGTGGCAACACCGACACCGTATATTTGCACTCACTATATTACCTATTGCTTACATATCAGTGGAGCTGTATCGTTAGGTCTAAAATATGCTTATCTAGAGAATATGCCAATATGCTAGAGAAAATAAAGTGAAAATAACATTACGTCGCAACAGATAGTTTTTTTAAAAGAAAATTAAAGAGAAAAAATAAATCGATTGTAAGAATTTAATTTCTCGAAAAGATAACACATAAAACGGCGCGAAGATGTGAAAACCTGCAGGAATTGCAAAAATAATGAGGATTTAGTGTTAAAGATACACACACAAAAATGCTATTCTACTAAGAAAAACGATTACTCAGTATACTTTCCTTCCCTCAAGTAATGATTATCTTCAACAAATAATCTTTTTTTTTATAATATTCTTCAAATACATTCATAAAAAGGAAAAAAAAATCATGTGCTCAAAAGAAAAGAATTTATTCTCATTACAAATATATTATAAAATTTCATCGAAGAAAAAGTTGGTTCGTCTCTATATATTATAATAGTAAGCAAACCGAATTCTCGTTTTAATATTCTTGATTGAAATGCTAAACTTATTATTTAGAATGTATCTTGAATAAATTTTTTATGTTTGTGATAAACTTGTGAAATATTTGAGACAAGTAACATTGACTTGAATGCAATATATATTTTCCTATGTATAGCGTTAACAAACTGCCGAATTAATGAAACAAACTTAAGAAGGCTAATATTATGGATTTATATAAATTATATATTATGGATATTTATATATTATGGATATTATTCTGTTATAGCATCCGTCCTCGCCATGGAGTGTTCTTGCATGTTAAAGGAAGATGTTTGGTCGTCAACGGTTGCAGAACCGCCGTTTTACGGTATCTTGAAGAACGCTTCCTGCGAGATACAAAATCCATTGCAAGTGTACGCGCATCGATAGTCTCGACGTGTTTGCCTTTAGGAAATATATGTCGCAATTGGGACGGGACGATACCTGCTGAATGAGTACAGTTTGCGACATTTTTTTATGCGCTGCTATATTTATATTTATTCGGCATCTCACTATTTATACGTCTGTTTTGCAAGAAAGACTGGTTTTAATCCAAATCACATCTTCTCTTTTCCGGTCTTTAATCCTAGCAGAATCAAGTGTTAAACTGCAACACGATGAGAAACTAAAATCGAGTCGTTTAAATAAAACTAATAATTTAATAATTTCAGAAATATATTCTGCAAATTTAATTGTAAATTGAAGACAGATGGGAGGAGAAATAGTATAATATAAATTTGAATTTTTATATTAAATTTATGGGAAAGCATTTAATTAATCAGATTTATCGAGAAAGATTTTTACGAGTGAACTTTTAAAACATTTTCAAAAACAAAGCACATTTTCCGCTCTTGATTCTGCTGAGTTTAAACGTGACTCTTAATATTTAAGATCTACCTTTATTATTTTTAGATTTGTTATGTTCCACACGCGCGCGATGATTAGTGCCTTTTGAATCGTTCGATACATCTAGCGTTTCCTACGAACCGTTTTTAAGAACAATATTAGAAATATTGGGGCATGGGTTTATCTGATACAAAAGCAGATCTTTTCTTCGTAGTTCTCGGTGGAGGATCACCGATAGCGGTGCGCAACATACAATTACAAACACACAATGCACGATTTCATGCCTTCTGATATGCACGCTGACTGGCAGCTCAGTGCATTGCACAGATTTTCCAATACACGATAGCAATTCATGCAGTGAACTGAACTGTCGATCAACATGCGTATAAAAAGACATGAAATCATGCATCTTATGATTCCGGCTTAACATCGGCGATTAATCGTAAGGGCAACATTGACTGCCCCATTCACAATGTACGTAGTTCAAGTCGTAATGCTAGACAATTTTTCTAATTAGCGCCGCTGATCTCGGCGTATACTTACAAGCATGACTCGTATATTTTGCATAAGCTAAGATCACACAATATACGGTTTCATGCTTTATTATATGCATATCGACCGGCAATCTAGTTTATTAGATCAATCACTATAGTACATTAGAAGATCTGTGCAGTGAACTGAACTATCGGTCAGCATGCATGCCAGGAGACGTGAAATTGTACATCGTGTGTTTCTAGCTTTATATTTTGCAGTCAATGGAATTCGTATAGCGGATAAGAATAACGGATATCGGAAGTCAATATATTATATCCTACCTGACTGATTTCAACGCGAGTACCGTGTTTTGTGCAGCGGCCTCTTTTTCACAATATTAAATATAAATAATTAGGTGATAATAGCCGTAATAGATCTAAATAATGTTATTCGCTGAATTGTTGAAAAAGAATGAAATAAAAGTTTTATTTATGAATAAGATTGAATTCTCCTTCAGGATTAATCTCTCTTTCTTCGTACGTACAACTATTGTATAATAATTTCTTAATTATTTTTAATTGAAGTTATTACAATAAATTAACGCAAAAAAAGAGCTGCTTAATTTATCATTGTATTTAAGGTTGGGAGTTCATGTGTAAATTGCTTTACATCTATGTGTAAACAACGTAAATTAAGATAAATATTCCAGTAACTGAACTAGCAAGAAAATACAGTTCGTTTTATATTTTAATTAATAAATAATTAATGGAATTACTAACAAAGCAACTACTATTAACAAAAGCAACATTTATATAAAACTTTAGTTCATCAGTGAAAAATAAAAGAAAGTAAAGAAATAAACAAAAAAAATTGATTACAATTTTTATAAGATATTAGATAATATCTAATAAGATTATATCTATAAGATTAATAAGATAGATATTAGATAATATCTATCAGTTACACAAGTAAATGAACTGAAAAATGAGGCATGTTCTAATTATCAAATAATACATTACTCAATGGTCGAGTACTTATTAAATAATATTACAAATTAGTATAAAGAAATATATTTTAACAAAATTTCAAAGCTTTTTGGTAGAAATATAAATATATTACTAATGTTTCAATTATATTGTTCAGTTACTGGGACATTTGCCTTATATATGAGACGTCATCTTTATAGATAATGTTTAATCTATTGCTTGTTTAAAGAAAATATGGCTTGCTTAACGATTAGTTAAGAAAAAATGATATTTTTATTTAACCTTTAGAATCTAGATATAAATTTATGAACGTTGTTTTCTCTATATAAGTTAAAATTGACATCGAATTCTTCGGGCACATTTTTACTTTTTGAGTTAAATCTACCAATATATTATAATAAAATGCAAATTTTTTATCATTTGTTTTTTCAGACATTACATTTATAATTAATAAATTAACATACAAAACAGATATTAAAAAATGTTTCATAATATAATTACTCTTTTGTGTATATTTTAATATAATTTATAATATTCTACGTAATGTTTATATTGCCTATATGACCTGATAAAAAATTTTTCATGCATAATTTTGCAAAAATGCTTATACAAAATTATGCAAAATTATATGAAATTATATATGAAATTTGTCCATATATAATTATATATAATTATATCTAAATAAATAAAATTATACATAATTATGCATAATTTTCGATAATACAAATGTCTTTTGATACTATAAATAGTAACTTTTTTCGTTTCTTCTATGTTAAAACTTAAAGAAGGACTTACTGAGAATTTCTCAATACGTATAGAGAAAAAAAATTACTTCATATATCCCTCCGTAGCTTCGAACTCGAACTATCTCACCTGTTCCGCTTGGTAGTCTTAGTCCTAGTCTTGGTAGTTACTAAATCATTTTGACAGTAAGAAAATTAATAATGATTCTAATGTCTCATACGATATCTTGCTGACTTGTACTTATACAAGTACTGTTATATTTCATACAACCGCTCGTGTGATGATAGAACGGATTAAATTGAATAGAAAAGTCACGTATCATTTTGCAAAATTCGCAATAGTTGACAAGGATTGAATTATTCTCTGTGAGATAATGAGTGCACGTGAATCGGTAGGCCAAACTCCGTGTAAAGAAAAATAGTTTACTTCTGAAGATGACCACTGTCGCACAGTCGGCAACGCGCCGCTGTTCGTATCTACATCGCCTTATATTTTGATTATATGTACATATGCATGATTCTACATATTTACATATAATTATATATACTTTTGCATACTTATACAATAGTATATATAATTATATATAATTATACAAAGTAACAAGTAATTCGTAAATCGCACATTCTGTGTAATTATATATTATTATATCTCATTATTCATAAGTATGCATACGTTAGTATATATTTATACAATTTTATATAAGTATATATTTTCATATATAATTATATCCAAGTGACATCATACAAAATTATGTATAAAGTCTTTGGCCGGTATTCATAGTCGAAACTTATATTTAAGACCGTCTTAAGTTTATCTTCAGATGCTTTATAGCCAATAAAATCATCCGTAGGCCATCTAAAAATCAACTTAAGATGATTTTAAATATAAGATCTGACTATCAATACCGGCTTTAGAAACTTATATGTAATTGCATGACTCATTATGTATATATTTATATATTTTGTCAAATTATATATAATTTTATATAATTATATATAATTATATATGAAAAATTTTTCATCGGGGAGAAAAGACTGTATATATATTTCGTAGATAATATGTAAGCAATCTACGTGGATGTACTTTGAAATTTGTGATACAATTCTAATTATACTATTTGAAAGTAAGATGATCCTCTGATCATAAAAGAAGCAGCGGCAATTCCTAGTTTTGAAATTAGTAAAACTTTGAAGCTAATAAAAATAACGGGTCTAATCATAACAGGTCACTCCAGTAAGAGATTCAAGATTTAGTCAAGATTCAAACCATACTTACCCGAATATTAGGTGAGCGTGTCTTTTTACGACACCGCTAGATGGCATCAGGTAAACTATTACTTGCAATTTGACGGTCTTAACAATAAAATGTATTATTATTTTAGACAGAAAGTAGACTCTGAAAGAATAGGGAAAAGATAAATTGATTTTTGATCTAGTTCATCCAAATATTAAGAAAATTTTATTCAGTTTAGGTTTAGTTGTTCCAACTTCTAGGTAACTGATAATTAAATCATATGTCTGTCTTTGTCTAAATTGAAGGAAAAAATAAAGATACACATATGATTTAACTGTCAGTTAACTTACCAAGAAAAATGGTTGGAAAAATCGGTTCTTAAAATTTTTGTAAATCTTTATAGTCTATTATAAAGTAGCTAATAATACCCAAGTATTGCACTCGCTTTATATCGAGAACTGGACAATGAACTGCCGCGTTGCACTGTTAGATGGCGCCTCCGCGTCTCGTATTACACAGATTTTAAATAAGTCACAGTTAGTCGACGACTTGTAAATCGCGTGCGTGTACGTGTTTTTCGACGTGTGTTTTCGTGGCGAGCTTATATCAACCGTTTGCGGAAAGCGAGGTATGCAGATTCCTGATAATGAACTGTGCAAATAGAGATACATAATAGCTATATTCGTAATTTCTAACTTACATATGTCACGACGGTAATATCATGTGCATTGAAATGAGTGCTCGAGACTCTCGTTCCGCTTATTAGGTGCTTTCTTGAGTTATACGTTAACTGCATTGCTACGCGATATGTCCAACCTCGATTCTGACGATTACGTTCTTATTGTCACACATATTTTTCTCAATTACGTATTCATATTTGAGGTTAGAATTATATTATATATACACATATATATATATTACATATAATGATCATAGTATCATATATTGGACTGTGTAATAAGTAATTTTGAATTTTTCAAATAACATGAAGCGATTTTATATTATGAAATAATGTTATGAAAAGGATAGCAATAGACCAAAATGATATATATATATATATATATATATATATATATATATATATATATATATATAT